GTGGCCACAACAACTTTCAAATATTTAACACTTTGATATTTATGCTAATTTTATATTCTAATTTTTTTTCAAAAGTAGTTTTTTGTGTGTATGAAAAATAACAATATTTGTTTTTCTTTAAGGCAGTCATTAAGATAACGTGATAACAACAACAACAAGAACAACAATAATAATAAAAATATTAATAATTTATTATAACAACGAGAATTAGAATGAGAATAATGTAAAAACACAAAAAAAATTAAATTTTTTTAGATTTTCTACTTTTTTCTAGTTTTTTTAGTTTCATTTAAAATTTTTAGTTCCTTTCAGTTCTTTCCATTTCTTCCAATTTTTCCAATTTCTTCTAACATTTTACTCTTTTTTTCAGTCTTAGACTCTTAAATAAGATTTGACGCGGTGTGATTTTGAAGTTTATGCGACTAGATTTGAATCTTAATTGAATTATTCGAGGAGACATGCCAACATTTCTAGGTGTGAAAAATTTGACGTTGGGGGAGGAGAGAGTCAAATAATCCTGATAACTTTTTGTAATGTCGGTCACCAATTACAGGTGTTGTTTCAAAGATGCAATAGGAGGATCTCTCCAATTATCCATGTACACTCCGTAACAGCGGGCATTTCAAAATTTTCAACTTGTTCTTTTCTTTGGAGTTTGGACAATAATTACTTCTTCCCCTCACAATAATTTACGGATTACATTATTATTTAATTTTTTTGATAATTTTTCTTATATTTGGAGTGTTATTCCTGAAAAAAATTGCAATATAACAAAAAATGTAGTGAGTTATAAAAATAAAAGTAAAATTAGAGATTGATTGTGTTATTTTCACAGTTTTTGTAATCTTCTTTTGCAAAAAACATTTATATAGAAGTATCGAAAAATATTCAGGAGTTTTGTAGTGTCTTTTTTAAAATAATAATACTCCCTCCGTTCTTAAATATTTGTCACACTTCTATTACTGAGGTAAAATATCAAGTTTTTTCACTTTATTTTATTTACATATTGGTATAGAAATAAAAAATAAAATTTACATATCAAAAAACTACATGAAAAGTTCTTCGAAATAAGATGTGTCAAAAATATTTTATTTTATCAAATAACTAATGAAAACGTAGAAATGAACAAAAGTTCCTGCGACTGCTGAAAAAGTGAGTGGGACAAATATTTTGGGATGGAGAGATGGAGTAGTATAGTATCAAAAAATAATTTCAAGTTCCGCTCAAGAAAAATAATTACAACTTACATAAAAATATAGTGAGTTATAAAGTAAATAAATTAGCTCCATTGCGTAGAATAACGTATTGTTCAATTATTACGAGATTATCAGTTATTGAAAAAAAATAATTAGTTTCACTCTAAAAAAATACTTAAATTTAGTATTAGTTACAAAAATATTTTTTAGAAATATATTAAAATTTAAAGTTAAAAATTAAAAAAAAACAAAAAAAAGAGAACTTACCTAATGATGGTGTAAATATAGCTGGGTGGGTCGACCGAATTTGACCTGGACACTCGACCCGTAATATAAAACACACAACAAGAGCACAAAGTATGACCTAGACCGGGTAAATCTCCTCAGTCCAAATTATATTTCTTACTCTGTCTCAAGAGTGTATTATTTTTAGTGAGAGAAAGAATTGATCCCCTCCTCTATCAAATATCATCATATTTATAGTGGAGGATTTGTAACCTTCCCCTGTTCATCCATGGACAAAATAGGAAGCTCGTGGGAAGGTCACTATAGATAATGGAAGCACTGTACAATCATGGACTTGTTACTAATACAACCAAAAAGCACTGTTCGATCAAAGACTAAAATGGATATTCTCAATCCAATCAACCCTGCAAAATGACAAACATCCCTTTCACTGTGTGCCTCGTGATGGATGAGCGGCGGGGTGTCCCCTCGACCTCTGACGTGGTTCACCATGCCTAAGAGACTGGACCAATGTTAGCCAAGTAAAGTGATATGACCGGTCACCTTCTCTCAAAGGTTACCTGGTCATTTCTTGTGCTCAACCCGTCTTTTTGGTCTTCCGGAATATCCTTCGTAGCATAAGGTGATACTTTGGCTATCGCCCAAAATGTGACCGGTCACTTTTTTAGTGGAAGTGACCGGTCAACTTTTGACCCGTCCCAATCGAAGAGTTAACCTCATTTGGTGATTGATAAAAGTGACCGGTCATACTTTGACTTGTCCCTTTCGGTTGTCCGGGTCGGGTATAGGGATATACCTATCAAGAAGTCCTCCACTTACCGGCCTTGTGAGGAAATCATCAAGGGCGGAAAGTATACTTATGTTAACCCATCACCTTTGAATTCAACAAGTCTTCTCTCATGACCTGTCCTTTTGAATCACCAGGTCTCTCTCATGACCTATCCTTTTGAATCACCAAGTCCCTCACATGACCTGTCCTTTTGAAATCATCAAGTCATTCTCATGACCTGTCCTTCTTTGAAATCATCAAGTCATTCCCATGACCTTTCCTTTTTTGAAATCGTCAAGTCATTCCCATGACCTGTCCTTCTTTGAAATCGTCAAGCCATTCCCATGACCTGTCCTTTTTTGAAATCG